GTTTTAAAAGAAGAAATGAATGTCCTGGAGTAGCCCAGTCAAAGTTCTGATTTGAATCCAATAGAAAATTTTTGGAGAGCCTTGAAGATTGCAGTCCATCAATGATCCACAATGAACATGACAAAATTGGAGCAATTTGCCAAGAAGAATGGGCAAAAATTACATCATCCCATTGTTCAAAGCTGGTAGAGACCTAACCAAAAAGACTCACAGCAGTAATTGCTGCCAAAGGTGCTTTCATCAAGTACTGACTTAGGGTGATGAATACTTATGCAATCAGCAAATTTCAATTTCTGTATTATTTTTGAAGGTTATGCTGATATTCAACCTCCTTCATACATAACAATGTAAAGTCTGATCATTAGAGTTTTGAATAAAAACAAGTTCATTAAAAAAACTGTTTACATTATTTGTGTTTCATCAGTTGTTTGTTTGTTTTGAAAATTCGTGCAAAGCTACACAAGGGCTATCTGTACTAGCCATCCCTAATTTAGCAGTGTAAGACTAGAGGGAAGGTAGCTAGTCATCATCACTCACCGCCAACTCTTGGGCTACTCTTTTACCAACGAATAGTGGGATTGCCCATCACATTATAATGCCCCCATGGCTGATAGGGCGAGCATGTTTGGTGGGACAGGGATTCAAACCTGCAACCCTCAGATTGCGAGTAAAGCCCCCTAACCACCTAGCCATGTCGGGCCATATTTCATCAAAATGAGACATTGATGAGAGGAGGTGAACACTTTTGCAAGACACCATAATAATTTTTTTAAATAGCAAAGCTATTAAAAATAAAATAATTACTTCATTGAAAGATATGAGCTATATTACTTAGTTAAATGGTTAAATCTGCATAATGTATGCAAGGACCTGATTCTATAAACCATATATTCTGTGTTGAATACCCAATGTGAAGTGAATGCTCATGAACTTCTTTCCATGTTAATTGTTATGCAGAATCTGGTGTCTGCAACATATTATGCAAAACTGACATTTTATTTTTAGTTTTAATATTATAAAAATTCGTCCTTATGTTATACAGAATCAAACCATTATACTGAATCAACAATTTATGCAAAATCAATCCATATTTTAACTCATTCCACAGAATTCATCCATTATTCACAACACACCCTATTTCAAACTCATTATGTAGAATTGACATCTTCAACATCTTTTTATGCTATCGACCAGTTGTGCAAATCATGGAAAATGGCACATCCCAAGTCACACACACAAATTTTGATTGAAATTTGAAGTATGGTAGTGAAGTTGTAACAAACATTAGTGTAACTTGTACGTGCAACATTAAAATTAATACATAGACGGCATTTCGGCTACACTTTCATTTCAATTAAGTTCATGTTCGGGTGGAACCGGAAAACATGTAAGCCTACTTACGAATACCAAACATTACTACTATTATTAGTATTAGGCCAAGGATTACCGTTGGTGTTACTGTTAGGTTTGTCCGGAGTCTGAGATTCCATACTGACGTCATTTCTACCGGGTTGATGAAGGTCTTTCACATTTTTTGGAATACCTTGCTTTCTTCCTCTCGTAGGTGAGTCACCACTACCTTCCATTGCGTATGATTTAGTCACAAATTAAATTATATCTGTACTCTTACAATTATATAAAAGACATATGATGTACGGTATAACGTTACTCATTAACCACAATTAACATTATCCACCACGTACAACGTTTTTACCACGCAAAATCTCATATATTCTCGTCTGTACGAGATTCTTTTATCTGTTCGCTTGAAAAAAGCGGTTAATTAATACGATTGGACGTTAATATTAATCTACTCGTTTATATTTAGAATAAATTGTAATAAAATACTGAAATATAAAGAATAGTGGGCCTGAGTTTTAAATGGCTCCGTGTAAACATGAATTACAAAAATTTGGCAAAATATATCTATATTTAATTTAAAAAATAAAAAAAGTTTGCTCAGATGGTAACACAAAGCAATTAGCCACTGCTAGCTCAGTGGCAAGACGAAGGCTTCTAACGCCAAAAATTGGGTTATTTGTGTAAATTTGCACTTAACAACAACAAAGTGAAAATTTAAAATAGTGAAAGTATAAAAAATTGACATGACGTGACTTTTTCAGGAACAACAGAAAATATGCAAAAAATAGTTAATACAAGTTAAATAAAACGTAAAAAGGACAGCTTCACTCCTCTCCCTTGACGGGGAAAGGGCAGAGGAGCTTTTGTTGGGGCCACCATACAGTGATAGGGATTTCTAGGAAAGGTAATTTAACAAACACGTTTGTCCCACCCAAGCTGACTCTCCTTAATGATTTAAAAAATCATACGACTTTTTAAAAGTGATAACATGATATATTAAAGTTAGCTTGGTTAGGCTAGATTGAAATTTGGGAGTGCATGGCTCACACAAGCACACCCTAGCGCTGGCCCTGCACAAGGCGCCTAAATTGTTTATACTTGATCAGCAGTGTAGTGGACGGTAAACTGAGTCTATCACTTCATGTTTGGATAACACAACATTTACCAATTTCTTTTTAAGAAATAAAGCGTTTATTCATTCCTATGCTGTCCTGTAAGAGTAATGAATAAATCCTGGCTTTAACAAGAGTTTAAGCCAAAGTATATTCCAATTTATTATACAAAACGATTCAGGCGCATTTAATGATAGGTATAAGCTATTCCAAGTAGTTTGCGAATTGTTTTATTACTACTGAATTACTGTGCTTGGTACATATTTCAAGTTATTAATACATGGGGCTTGGCTTGACCTAGTTAGGATGCTCGATTTGCAATCTGCAGGTCACAGAATCGAAACCCGGCGCCGAACATGTTTGCTCTTTCAGATGTGGGGCGTTATAATGTGATGTTCAATCCCATTCATTGGTGATAAATCGCATCCCAAAAATTATAGGTGGGTGCTACCGGCCGGTTGCCTTCCCTGTGCCCCCCCCCCAGTGGCACAGCGGTATGTCTGCGGACTTACAACGCTAGAATCCGGGTTTCGATACCAGTGGTGGGCAGAGCGCAGATAGCCCAATGTGTAGCTTTGTGCTTAATTACAAACAAACAACCTTCCCTGTGGTTAGCAGTTTGAAATTAAGAACGACGGCAGACAACCTTAGTAGCTTTGTCATAAACAAGACAAACAATTGTTGCGTATCTGCTTGTTTGTTTGTTTCCGGTAGAAATTCTTTCCGAGGATCTTCAGGGATACAAGTCCTTTCTTTATTAAAACAGTTTATTCTTCCTCGATTCAAACTTTTAGTACACAGAAAGTTTCATAATCAGTACGTTTCTCGTCACTTTAAACTTAACAACTTTTAGAATACAAGCTATAAATCACAGCGATTCACAGTCTCGATAACTTCGCTCTCGACGAGTGCAAAACTCACACTTTACGGCTCACTAGCTCGAAACTAACAGAATCGTAAATTACACGGATCTCAAAGTAACTACTGCTCTCATTAACCCTGCTGGCTTTCACTGCCAGGTTTATATACTAACGAAGAGGTCATCTTAGACTTCCCCGATCATTCGAGAAACTCATCACGCGCGCCAGCAGCGTCAAATGACTTCCGTTGTCTTAACACAATTAATAAGTATCCGTAACTGCTGAAGATTATAATTTATAGAGATCACTTTTATACTTGAATAAGATTCAAATTTGATTTTTTTTTACATCATACCACTTCAGAACTGACGTTACCATAAAATCGTATATGTTTACAGATACAACTTGTTTGTGAACGATGTACTTTATTTTCTGGGAACATAAACTTCTACCCTGAAAAAAGTTGTACACAGCAGTATTTTCATTTGCGTTAAAACTTTTCTATGTTATTTTGTCTTACCTATCCATGTTTTTATGTTGTTTTACGTAATGACGGCTAACTTGTTTTCATTCAGAAACTTGGTATTTGAAGCTTAGATGACACCGTAAGCAAAACATGAACTAAAAGAAGAAGTCACTGGCCCTGTTCAGGCATAGCTATCTCTGCTTTAAAACTGCTGATCAGAGGTAGAGTAATCAGTCAGCAGCATCCAAGCGTGAGCTATGTAAATATATATATATATGTTTTTTTTATTTTTTTTTTTTTTTTTTTTTTTTT